TGTGTCGGGTTAAAATGCATTTTTAGCACATGGCGCAAATCTGCAGTGTACACGGCACTAAAAATCTGGGCTTTTTCCAGTGGTGTATCCCCAACGCCACGCGCATTCAAAACCCCGACAAAAAAACCCTCTCTCGAGAGAACATTCGCCATACGCTGGACATAAACGCTCCGTGAAGAACTCAAAAGCCCCGGGAGAATCAGCACCAATCCCCTCACTTGTGCGTCACCAGATAACACCGGTGGTAAGCAGTCAATAAAGAGTGGGTTGCCATCCCCCGCGATCACCTTCTCACGGATGTACTCCACCCTACAGTGGGGACGTCGAGCTCCAAGAATGGTATGTACATGTCCACTGTACATAGGGCCCTCATAATACTTATACGAGCCCAGACCAAAGGAGTCATAGACGGTCGAATTGCGGAGAGAACTGACGGTAGCAATGCGCCGGTCCTTCTGCGAAGAAAACGTGAGCTCCTCCTCCTGAATCATCCACTCAAGAAAAGTTATAGGCCAGCGGAAAAACAGGTTTAATAATGTTACTGGAACAACGTAAAACAAAAGATGCACCACACAGTGGGTGACAAGAAACCCAAAACGATTTGCAATAAGTTTCATTGGGAGGCCCAAGGTATATTTATAATAAAGAGAGAGTAAAAGAAAGAAAGAAAGAAAGTTTTAAAAGAACCACGTAAAAGCGAAAAAAAAAAATAATAATAATAAATGTAGTGAAGACTTGTGCCCTAAAAAAAAAAAAAAAAAAAAAAATAGGTTGAAAGCACTCGCTGCCAAGAAAAAAAAAAAAAAAAGAAAAAAAAAAGAAGTATATATAAGAGACAGACAGAAGCGCAGCCAAATTATTTTGTCTCAACAAACTGCAAAGAAATAACAGCAACAAAAAAAAAAAAAAAAAAGCGACACCACGTAAGCCCTCAAAAGGCACTACTACAGACATCACCAAATTTGTTGTTATTTATTTATTTATTTTTTCTTTTTCTTAATTAGAAGAAGAAATAATAATAATAATAATAATATTTTCCTCGCTCCTCCTTTCATTTTCCTTTTTTTTTTTTCTTTTTGTTTTTAATTTATGCTTTTATTTTTATTTTCATTTTTCAATTATTTTTTTTTTTCTTCTTTTTTTTCTTTTCCATTTGTGTGCTTGTGCGTTTGGGTGCTCATCCATTTAACCCCAGTCCCCACCGCTCCACTCCTCCCCGTGCAGTGTCCGGCGTCCACAACCAACAAAACCCCCCTTCCCCACACAACCGCCATCCACCCAAAAGGAAAAGAAAAGAAAAGAAAAGAAAAATGTTTCTTTGAATACATCATATCATACAACAAAACTGTTATTTGGAATCGCAATTACGGAAACGCCTCATGTCGGAATTGTCTCCTTTTTTTCATTTTATAAATCTCTTTTTTTTTTTTTTTTTTTTTTCCCTTTTCTTTTCTTTTACTCTTTTTTATTGTTGTTGGTGTCTTTTGTCTTCCGTCTCATTCGTGTTTCTTTTGTCCATCGATTGCTTCTGCGGGGATTCAGGCGTTGAAATTCATAACGTAAATAATTATGCGAACAGGAGCAGGAAAAGAAAAGAAAAAAAAAAAAAAAATTTTTTTTTGAAGGCCAATTCACCACCTTTATTTTCGTTCACTCTTCGTTTCCCTCTTACTTTGCCCCCTTTTCTTTTTTTTTTTTTTTTTCTTGTGTGTTTGTGTGGGGTTGGGACCGCAAACGGCGGGTGCGCACTGCCCGTCCGCCACTCTCCCCCTATTTTTCCCCAGCGAGCCAACAAAAAGAAACACACACAAGAAAAAAGAATTCCTCGCCCCAATCACCCCCACGCACAACTCCTTCACGACGCCTCCTCTCTTCGATTAATTCACGCAAATCCCCTCTTTCCACGGACACAAATATATTTCTTTTCTTCTTCTGCATCTTGCCGCTTTACATCCGTCCTTTGCCCCCCCCCCCCTTCTCTCCGAAAGGCCCCACACGCAACACGCACCCGTCTCCTCTCACTCCATCCCCATCGGCCCTTCGCGCTCTCCGTGCGCCGATGCATTGTGAAAATAGGAGAAATCTTCAGTCCAGCTGCTCCTACCACCCCGTGTTATCACCAATCCACGCAGCAAAAAAACAACAAACAAAAAAAGCAGGAATATCCATCTCTGTTGCTAGTGGGAGTAAAAGGAAAACAAGAAAAATAAAAAGAAAAAAAGGAGCAAGCTGGGGTGCATGCGTCGTTCCAAATCATTCATAGGCCAACACACACGGTGTGTTTTAATTCCATGGAGCCGTCGTAAAGTTAAGTGAAAGGGCCTTGCTAGTCGGTTGCAAAAATTTCCCTGATGCACTTGACAGTCCGGGTGGAGCAAAAAGAGGCGCGCTGCTCTGAAGCGGGTCGGTACTAAAGGCTTCATTGCTAGCAACACCTCCCGACACGGGTGCCGAAACAGAAGTGTATCGTGGCCGCTCCGGGAACATCCCTCCTGCAAAAACAGGGCTATTTCCTGAAATGACTGTCGTGGGTGACGTCGAGAGAGGTGAATGCAGTGAAACCGGCGCGGCACCAGTCTTAACACCAAAGGACGTGTGGGGTGCAGAGTTGCAAGAGGTTCTTCCTGTTACCATTGTAGTTGGGGTGAAGGGGCAGGCATTAGCGTCAAGAGTGAAACGTGGTGCTGCACCACCACTAGTAAACGGAGCGGTGACAGTGAAACTGCTGCTATGTCCTGCTGCCGATCCACCCGCATTATCTACGCCGGCAAGGTGAGTTGCCGCTTCTGGCTGCTGCAATGGGGGCAGCTGTGGTGAAAAGAGGACAGCAGCAGATGGGGTCCCGAAGGTGTTCGCGGTGTCTCCGCCTTTTGCGCCCTCACCGAACGACAATGGATCTGTCATAGAAGCCCATGTCGAAATACCAACGCCCATCACTTCTTCGGCAGTAGACTGCAAGGGTGGAGAAAAAACTCCACAACTGTTCTCCTCAGAGGCACGTGGCAATGGAATTGACAATCCACAACGACCACTACCACCACCACCAACAAAACTGAAGGCGAGGTTGGGGTTCACGCCGGGTGCTGCAATCGCTGATGACTGTGGCGAACGCGCTGGAGACGAACTTGTCGCTGACAATGTCGATAACAACAACAGCTGCGAATTTGCGCCATTCGTGGATGACGGAGCCCAAAAAGACTGAAGATCATTGATAGCCAGCGTCTCATGACGGGTTGAAGACATCTCCGGAATGCGTAGTGCTGCCGCCAAATCCCGCTGTTTTCGGCGTTTGGCCTCTCCGCGTTCCTTGAACCGTGTAATACATGCGGCTGCTTCAGCCTCTAAGCTCGACAGTAGCTCATTGCTGCTCTTAAGCTGCTGCCGTAGTTGTTCCACCTCGAGTTTGCCCTCCTCAATCTGTTCCTGAAGCTTTTTGGTTGCAACCTCTTCCTTTGACTTCTCCTTTGCCAACTTTGTCACTTGTGCACGAGTAGCAGACACCGTTTGGGTTAGCGTTTCCAATTCACGCAGCAGCTCGGGACTAGGCCCAACCTTAGCAAGAAGCATCTTGCGCTCACGGTCCTTCTTTTTTTGCAAAGCCTTCTGGTAAGATTTGCCATGCTCGCTCAGCAATTGACGATACCCGCTGTTCCACGCCTGATCGACGGCCTCGCGTTGTTGTGACTCGCTCTTCTCCAGTTTGATAACGACCTTTTCCCATTCCTTGCGGCGCTTCTCATTCTCCGCATTCGCAGTAGCGGTCGCAGCTGAATCTGTTGTCGCCTGCTGATTAACTCTGCCTTGTTCCATGCTGTTCTCCAATCCCCGATTTGCACAAGTACTTTTACCGTTTTGATGATTGCTGCTTGACTTTTTCCTCTTTTCTTCAACTGGAGGTGCACCGTTGGGACAAATCAAATCCATAGCATACTGAAAAACAAGTCTGTCCTCTACACGGTTGTAAAGACGATAACCGGACTGTGACATGGTGGAACTGTGCAACGCTACGGTCAGTGAGACAAAGTTCTCAAACCCCATCAACTCCCCAGGCGCGGCCTCTACTTCTCGCTCCAGAAACAATGCGGAACTCTCCCTAAGCGACGACTCTGGGTTCGGGGAGAAATCACTGTTTTTGCTCTTGTTATTATTGTCACCTCCACTGATTCCATTATTCTTCCGCTTCTTCTTGGGGTCCTGCGTCCGCACAATCATATGGGCAGTAATAGGGCCAGTGTTACGATGCCAAACATAAAAGCTCAGTTTGTCATTGATCACAGTCAACAATGCATGCCAACGGATCTTGTTGCAGCTAAAACGATTACTTATCAATCGTTGCAGCATTATCACCTTCATAAGTTTGGCATTGTCCACGGTGCACGTGTAGCGCCCAGGAGCGTGCTCGTGAATTTGCATCTGCGGCATGAAGGAAAGCTTTGAAACAGATGGAACGGAGTAACGTGGTGAATAAAAGTAGTGGCTTATTTTCTCCGCTAACAGCTCGGGAAGTTGATGGGCATCGACCGACTCTGTGTTCTCTTCCACAGTAGAGATGGAGAGCTCATGACAAACTTTTTCCAGCAACGGGGTCGGAAGCGGTGAGAAAAATGTCACTACAGCGACAGCAGAGATTGCAGCAAAAATGTCTTCCGGAGAGCAGCATCGGTCCGGGAAGCCAAAAATATTGGCAAAATAACGAAGGTGCTCTGCACTCAGTGTACAAATGTCATGCCGCAGGGAAAGAAGACCACGCATTGGACCGTCTTGGTCATCCTCTCTTCGCGGCGTCATTTCCTTCACGCCAGCGTCCGATGCACCGTTTGCCGCATCGGCAGCGGCTTTTTTATGACCCGAACTATGGATGCTTGCGTTATTGCCATCTTGACGCCAGTTACCGCCTGCATAAGACGAAAACAAAGGCTGAGGCTCCAACGTATTTGAAACAACAGCACAAATCGTAAAGGCAAGTAAACGAAAATGTTCGGTGATGGTCAAGCGGTAAACCTCCCCGTTCCCACCTTCAACTGGTATGCCCCACCAGGCTGCCAACTCGTTTATTGTGTGTAGACTCAACGAGTTGACCTTTTCGGTTGTCTCCTTGAGATCGTCCAGATCGCCAAGGAAGGATCGATCCTCTTCATCCTCCTCCTCCCTTTCGTCGTCATCGTCTTCTTCAGTGTCATCCGTGTAGGTGTTTTTGCCACAGCAAGCTCCAGCGCCCTTACTTCTCCCTTTGGAGTCTTTGCAATGCAAAAGCTCAAATACCAACGAGGGATGTTCAATCTGTGAGGCCGTCTCAAGAATCGCGCGTGGCAAACGCACCATCACACCAGCATCGTCACCATCGTCATCATCATTGTCATCGCCACCGTCATCATTTTCATCTTCTACCCCGTGTACAGCAGAAGATGCCCATGCCAATGCTGCCGATAGCTGAGCTTGAAGTTCACGCTTTGAGAGCCTTCCAATTGGCAAGTTCCCACTGCCGTTTAACGATGAGGAGGATTTTGTCATAGGCGAAGGGGGAGATGTGCTGTAATCTGAGCCATTCTGCCCATCCACAGCCTCCTCTGCGCGTTCTAGCGAAACGCACACACCGCCACTGCACTGTTGCAAGAGTTGGAAAAATGCCATACCATCAAAGTTCGCCACAAGCTCATCAGGAATAGCGTCTTCCTCTCTCCTGCTGCAATTCACCAATGCCTCCCGTAAGAAACTACGAGGCGACTCTGGTAATGCCCTTCTGTTGCGACTCCCACTAGCCACAAAGGCGGCGGCACCGATGTTGTTGTCATCTATCCGATGTGAAGCAGACGCGGCAGTTGGGGATGAAGAGGGCGCCGCTGTGGTTGATAAAGAAATCATTCCATCTCGGCGTCGCTTTTTAGGAGCCATTGTGCTCGCGTTTTTCTCCTGCATTCTCTCTGCCAAACCCTCCGACGCTTGCGGAGCAGCAGATGCAGAGTCGTCTCTCACGTTGAACGGCTCATCCGTATTTGTCCGAGTCGTACCACTTCGTATGCACTGCGGTGGAACAGCAGCGTCAAGTTCCTGCCCAAACTCTAAATTACTGCCGCGATTCTTATTGGAAGCCTTTTTCACTTGATGCTCCTTTACGCTTGCAATGGCAGAGATAAACTCCGGGCAACTGCGCCGCAGCAATGTAAGAGGTAAAGCGTCCGTCCCTCGAAAAGACTTTCCGCTCTGCTTTGCACCTTCCGTCTGGGACATGTAGCCGCGCCCAACACTTCCCCGCTCACTTCTCCTGCCCGCCTCTTCCGCGTGCTTTAGCCTTTGTTACTATCCTTTTTTTATTTTTACTATTTCCTTCTTCTTGCTGTTTTGGTGGGAAAATGTAGCCTTTGGTTGCAGCTCGATTGCGGTGTCGGCACACAAATGAGCAAAGACAAAAACAAACAAACCCCCCTTTCCTCCCCCCTCCGCTTCCCAACAATAAAATAAAATAAATTCCCTCACTCTCTCTTTCTCTCAAAAAATAAAATAAAAATAAAAATAAAAAAAACTAATAATAATAATAATGAAGAAAAACAAAAGTGAGGTGTGCAGAGCGGCAAAATAAAATGTGTCAGAGAAAATCCCCCTTCTACGCCGTGGAATTAATTATTGTTCCCCTTTCGTGGTGGACCTCTTTTTTTTTTTTATTCTTCTTTTTCCCCCACCGTCGCACTCCCTTCTTCTTCCTCTTCGTCGTGCTCCCAATTTACTTGCCAAAATTTCTTCCTTTTTTTTTTTTTCGCTTCGTGAGATAATTCGTGGCGTTTGGCTTCTTCTCAGTGGCTTTGGTCCAAACCTTCTTCCTTCCTGTTTGCTTCCCTTTTCCCCTCAGTGCCTTTCACACCACCGTCTCTCTCCCCCTCTCTCTCCTTTCTTTGCCATCCGCGTAACGGCAGCGCACCCCTGTGTGCAGGGAGGGGAAGGGGAGAAGAAGAGACATTAAAAAAGAGAGAAAAAAGCGCAAAAGAGAAAAGGAAAAAGGAAAAGAATAAAGAAGCAAAGAATCCACAGCACCACGTCATTCCCTCCCCCTTCCTCCCTCCCTCCATTACTGCCGCTTTATTTCCTACTCTCTCTCTCAGTTGTTCACTCACGCACCCCTCCCCTTTTCTCGTTCCCACGGCAAGTGCCTGGTGTGTCTCAGCAACCCAGTGTCAGCCACCCCTCGCAGAGGCGCGTGTTCACAGACACACAGAGCAGAGGCAATGGAGAGTCTTAAGTAGCGGGGGCAGGGAACTTCTTACAGCTCTGCTGCCACGGCAAAAAGGAAAAAAAAGGGTATCCTTCAAAGAACAAACTCCGCAATTTATTTTTTTTCCTTTTTTTTTTTTTTTTTGTTCTTTCTTTCTTTGTGTCAAAAACCATTTATAAAAAAGAAGATATAGAAGAAAATAATTGGGAACACTCTTTTCTATTTTCGGCCACGTCGTGGCTTCCCCGCCATCTCTTAGCCAACAGGGCACAACACATCCTTCCCTGTGCTCGTGTGTGTGCGTGTGTGTGTGCAGCGACGTCTTCTGAGAAAAGAAACAAAAAAAGAAAAATGGGGGTGGACCTTCTTTTTTTCTTCTTTTCTTTTCTTTTCTTTTTTTTTTCTTTTTCTCTCAGCCTTTTTTTTCACACATTTGTCTGTTAGATTTATTTTTAATAAATTTTTCTTCTTATTTTACTTTATATTTATATAAATATAAATATATATATTTCTTTCCTTCTTTCTTTCGGCCCGCGTTTGTGTGTCCACTCCCTTCTTTTCCATCGGGGCCTCGTGCCCGTTCATTACACACAGACATTTGTTACATTCCTTTGATTCACCTCTTTTTTTTTTTTTCCCTCCCTCCCTCCCTCCCTCTCCCTCTTCTACTCTCGCCTCTCACTTCGCATCGCACATGTCTTGCCACCAAAAACTTCAATGTGGATGCAGAAGCTGCAGTGGCGGCGGCCGTGATCGCAAAACGAAAAAAAAAAAAAAAGAGGGGAAAAGGGAAAAGGAAAGGCGTGCAGTGACAAGCGAGATGATGTCACATAATAATTAATAATAATAATAAATAATGAATAATAATAAATGTGGCAGCAGCAAAAGGCCATGGAAGACAAAAATTTACGCACACAACACCCACTTGTTTTAATCGACAACGCAAAAAATAAATAAATAAATAAATAAAGAAGAGAAAGCAAAACAGAAAAGACGGCAAGGAGAAAACAAATGTGGGCTTCTCTGATTTATTTTGTCTTCTCTTGTTTCACCTTCCAGGTTGACGGTTTTATACCAACGTCTGCGTGTTAACCGATCATCGCCACCTCAACTTCCCCTGCGCCCGCATTCGTTCATAAATTTACATCCACCCCTTTCCCACGGGTTTCTTGGGTGTGCCGTATATCTCCATCAGTTTATGCACATTTCTGCTTCTTCGTTTATTAAACTCTCGTTGTTGCTTTTTTTTTTTTTTTTTTTCTCTTTTCATTTTGTTGCTTCGTTGACTAAAATGTTTCTCCTTCTTTCGTCTCGGCTTTCTGTTTCAAAGATCACCAGTAAAAAAGCTGCAAGGCGGCCGTAAAGGGGCTAACAAAGAAAACGATATGCTTGAAATGTATACACATTGATGCGTCCCCCACCTTCTTTCATCTGGTCATTTTTGCTACCACCACCACAACTATTATTATTAACTATTACTATTATTATTATTATTATTATTGCTGCTGCATCCGCCGCCACAAATATGTTTGTTTTCATTCCTGTTTTACTGTTTCTTATCAACATCTCTCTCATATTTCACCCATTTCAGCTTACTCGATCCATACATGTGACGCCCTTTCCAGAACAATGTATCGATGCTCACCACTGATTGTGAAAATTATTCGTCTGCATATATCCCGCCTGCGAACGCTGGTTGAACATGGGGTTCACGCCACCGTCAGGCATGGGTCCACGCATCTCTCCGGCTCCCATTGGGCGGTTGTTAAAGTTGCTCTGCATGTGTGGGTTCGAGCGCATCGGATTTCCGCGGCCCATGTGCGGAGGTATATCACCACTCCTGGGAACAAAAGACTTTCCACGAGGTGGCTGGTAATTCATGTTTTGGTAATACCGGTTATGTTCGTACGGTGGGACAACTGGGCCATGGCCGAGTGCCCAGTTGTCGGGACGCGGCGGAGGACACCACTGCATGTTCTCCTGCATGGCAGGGGAGTACGTGTAACCAGGAGCAGGCTGTGGGCCGTGCTGTGTCGGTGCAGGAGGAGCCGCAGGAGCACTGCGGACCGGTGATTGCTGAATATGGTGATGATGCTGTTGCTGTTGGTGATGTTGCTGTTGCTGTTGTTGTTGTTGTTGTTGTTGTTGTTGCAGTTTCTGTTGTTGCTCAAGGATTTTTGCACGCTCCTGTTGAAGGTTCTCACTCTGTTCCTGCAGTTGACGCTCAAATTTAGACAACTGGGCACGTTTCTCATTCAACTCAGCCTCTCTCTGCTTGCAGTAGTCCTCAAAAACGCGACGCGAATCCTGGAGCTCGCGGCTTTCCTTCTGTAATGCAGCCACAGCACTTGCCATCGTCTGCTTCTCACCTGGAGCCTTGAAGATGACCCGAGTGCCCTTCTCCTGTGCGTCAATAACGTCCTGAGGGTACTGAACAAGATAGGCAGGGGCTCCTGCCTGCACCTGTTCCTCCCGATGTGGTTGTGTGAACTGATTCACAAAACTGTAATCGTCGTCATTGGCCCAACTAAAATGTGCATCAGATTCTGGGAGAGTAACAGGCTGCTGCTGCTGCTGCTCTTTTTGTTGGACCGGCGGGGTCGGGGTCGCCGAATTCTGCTCTACAACTGGCTGTTCGCTGGCGAGTTGCTGCGCCGTTTCTTCGACGGATGCAGCATTCACCTCTACGGCTAAACTTTCTACGGTAGTCACCTCAGGCTCCGGGGTGACCGTTTTTGGTTCTACAACCGCCGCCACTGTTTCAGTTTTCGCTACGGCTGTGGCTACTGTTGGTTTTTCTACGGCAGCGGAAGTGTTATTGTTCGAGCGCTTGCTGGCACCGACTCGCAGTGCATCAAGGAAGCTCTTGCCCGAAGATGCCTTGGTGGTGTTGGTGATCTGTGTCTTGATGATAGGCCCTGATGGAGGGGCAGTCTCCTCAGCTGCATGTTCGTCCCGCTTCGACCGTGGGTGATCGTGTGAGCCCTTCGCATTCGGCTTACTGTTATTCTTCGCACTACCGCCGTTGTGGTTGTGAGAATTTGCTGTCACGGTACGTGGAGGCATCGATCCCGTCGTATTCAATTCAGCCTTCTTCGTCACTTTGTCTTCCCTTATTCTTAGGTTAATTATATGTACCACCCTCTCTCTCTATAAATATATAAATATATACGTGTTGATTTTCCGCTTACGTAATTTGTAAAGTTTTATTTAAATGAGTTACAATTTTTTGTTTCTTCTTTTTTTTTTTTTTTGTTTTCCCCTCACCCGAGTCCTTTATTCTCTCCTAATATGCGCTTTTCCTCCTAAGTTAGTGTGTGTGTGTGTGGGGGGGGGGGGGGGCAGAAAAGGAAATTGGGAGTTTAAGGCAAGTCAGTGAGGAATCCCTCGTTGCAGGTGCAGCCCGCACATGTCAAAATAAGCCACGCAAAAGAAAAAAAGCAAGACGACATTCTGCAATGATTCGCCCCAACTTTCATAAAAACGCACGCAGAAAGGAGGTGAGAGAGAGGGAGCGAAAGAGAGAGAATGTGCGTGTGTACGTATGGGCGTCATACATTCATGTATATTAGATAAATATATATATATACTAGATGTATACACACATACACACACACGCACATGCACGAGACACAATAAAGAAATGCAGGAGGAAAAACAACTTACCCTCTTCTCAGCCTCCTCTTTTTTTCATCGTTTTTTTTTTTTTTTTTTTTGCTGCTTTTCTTTTTATTTTTATTTTTTCCTTCTCCTCACCAGTCGTCCAAGTCGTAGCCAAAGTCGCGGTCTCTGCAGCAGAAGTATGGCGCCAGGAGGGACCAGATGTACAGCAGCACTGCCGCCCACACGGTGGCACTGCGCACCCAAAAGGCGATGTTGATGCTTCCAAGCAGGGTGCTCTTGCCCATCCCACTCACGTGCCATCCGGTGGCCAACATCGCAAGGTACATTGAGCCTAACATCATCGTGGTGTAGAAGAATAGGTATTGGCTCAAGTGCCCAATCTCGTCAGGGTCTTCGTCCTCCCCCTCCTCGTCACGGCCAATGCCAAGTGCGCTGCCGTTGCCTCCAGAAGAAACAACACTGTAGCCGAGCGCAAAGCTGCTGACGATACTCGCAATGACCATCTGTTTGATCGAGTTCGTTTGGCCTTCGGGCACAGCAAGGCGGTTGCAGTACTCATCGGTGCCGGTTCGCAGGGTAACAAACATTATGCCACTGGAGTACAGAAACACAATGCCGCTTGGAACAATCGAGCCGTGTGGAATCCAAACGGATAAAACGGTAAAAACAAGAGCGCTCACAAGCACGCTGGTAATTGCGAATGCATTGTAGTTACAGTCTGAATGGGGAACGTACATGATATATGAGGCAATGTTGACACCAATGGCCCCCAAGTATGATAAGACGGCTATAGCAAAGAGGTACCACATCCACTTACTGGACCTTTCACTCCGGCGCCCAAAGTCATCGCTCCATTGATAACTGAAGTCCACAAGAAAGATAACATTCATCAATAGAAAAAAAGCGGACGCAAAGAGACACACGTACGCGTAAATGGCAAAAAAGCCGTTTGGAATCCAAAAAGTGGCGACAAACACCAACAACAAAAGAATTGTTTTCGCATAAAAGAAGCGTTTCTGAAACTCCACTCGTGTCTCCGATTCGATGCAGCATGTAAGATCCGAAACAGACAAGAGGTGCAAGAAGAAAAAAAGCGCCAACGCAAAACTGACACGGTAGACGAGTACCTCCGCAGTGCAGTCTTCACTCAAGGCGCTGGTAGCGAGCTTGCAGCCCTTTTGAAGAATAGAAAGATGACTAAAAATCCCCGAAAGAGAGCTGCGCAGCAACATGGTGAGAATCAGGCCAAAAAACAGATAACAGGCGTACTGCACCCGCAGTAAAACACCGGGGGTGAATTGCGAATTCCCACCCGAAGTCCCAACCATTTTTTTCTCCTCGTCAGACATAAATCGGGAGAACGGAAATCAAATATAAAAATATGGAGAGAGAAAGAGAGAAAAAAAAAAAAAAAAAAAGATAGAAAAAAGATGGGTCAGGGCAGGTGCACACTGATATGCACGGAACACTGCCACTACCAATAATAATAATAATAATCCACCAACACTCAGATATTTTATTTCCCTACACAAATCCCTTTGGTCGCCGCCTCCTATACGTGTCTAACAAATCACTCCAATAAATAAAATAAAAAAAAAAATCGGGAGATGAAAAAGAAAAAAAAGAAATATGGCAGAAAAACAAAATATCAAACACAATAAAATTTAAAAAAAGAAAAAAGAAAGCACGTGGCTGAAATGAAGAGACAGATAGATATCCCACTCCCGGTACATTTTTCAAAGCACCATTATAAAACTTGTCGCCAAATACATCTCTGTTTTCATCGTAAATGGTGTGCACGTCGTCTCGGCAAGCCCACCGACAAAACAACAGGAAAAACATAAAGAAATAATCTAAAAAAAAAAAGTTAATTGGTCGTTGTATACATATCAGTCGCAACTCTCGCTACATAACACACACTTGTCTAAAGAAACAAGTACATATATTAGAAATTGCAGCTTTTCCCTTCTTTTTTGCACCCAATTGTGTTTTTTCCCCACCCTTTTCCTTCCTTCGTCTTCCGCAGTCTCACAGACCGTTTAGGCAAACCGCTCATCGTCCGTGGCAAGAGAAAATTTCGTGTAGCCCATCTCTCCGCCACCTATGCTGTGCACCTTCCGGATGGCATCCGACTGCGCCGGGGTCAACTGCACGCCAAGAGACATTAGAGTCGCAAAGAACTGCCCCTCCTTCACAAAACCCTTGCGCGCTCGGTCATACTGGCGGAAGGCAGAAAGAGAGACGGAACGACGCGATGCCAGAGTGCGACGTACCTTATCCATTGCCGACTGATACAGTTCGGCCTGCAAATCCTCTAAAATTTTGGTGCTTTTCTCAAATCCAGACGCCGTCTCCTCTTTTAAGGCGACGGACTTTTCGTTCGCCGGCACCGCTGCAGGTACGGAGGCAGTATCGGTGGATGTGCACAACCCGCGACGACGCTGCGTGACCGCCATGATGCCTACACCTGCCTGGAGTTTCTCTGACACAACCGAGAAGAACGCCGGGTAGTCGACATGCCCCTTCAGTTCACTGTGGGCGAAGGCCGCCTCAAGTGCCTGCAGTTCGACTTCCGTGAGATGAAGGCCCAGAATTGATACGCAGTGCCGAAATCGGGTATTTGTCACATGACGGTGGCGCAGTTCATCACCATCTGGAAAGAACTCAGATAGCCGGGCTTTGCGTTCTTGCAAAAAGCAGCAGATTTTTGTCAAAACACGTTCCACAAATTCCTCGTCCACAGTAGCCCCGTGTGGGGAGCCGTCACCCAAGCAGACAGATGCGGTGTTGGTCCTCAGCATCATTGTGTCATTCATACCAGAACTCGATACCCCAGTCTTCTTCTCCCGGATCCCTAGCTCCATCTCGCCTTGACCAACGTCGCGGACAAATCGTGTATATTCAATCAGCTCTGCATCCTCGGGTGACGCGTAATAGCGTGACAGAAGACTTGTATCGGCCGGAGACAACACAAAGCGATGACGTGCAAGGGCTCGTAAAAAGTTTGATTTCGTAATCTTCCCGCGGTGCAGGCGGTCAAAATCCGAAAAAAAAGGGGTCAGCATGGCATGGTGCGTGGCGACGTCGTGTGAAAGACGGGCGAGAAGCCGTGGAAGAAATTCACGCTCCGCATCCGTGAGTTTCTCGGTAGGGTTATAAAGCGCCTCTTTAGAAATCGCGCTGAGAGCTCCTTTGGTGCTTTGGGATGCCGTAAATTTGAACTTCGTTGTGACTGAAGGCACCGCCGTTGGCGCAAATTCTCCAATGTCGGTGATAAACCGGTCGAAGTCGACGTGATCACGCGCCTTCGTCGACTTGTACTCTCTTTGCAGCAGTTCAATTTCCTGTGGATGCAACTGTAACCCAGCTATGCCAAGTGCCACCGAAAATTTCTCGGTCTGTACCATGCCGCTGCGCAAAGGGTCAAAATCGATGAAAAACTCATTAACACGGAGGTGTCGCTCCTCGGCCTGCATCGCCACCTTTGCAAGAACCTCTGATAATGTATCAGCAGGCCGTGAATAGGAGCCGCCCTTCTGGTTCTGCAGCTCTCCCATCCCAGTCGACCTCATTAAACGCGCTGAAGTCAGTTGCAAACTGTGACTATTGTCCACGTCCATAACAAACTGGTAGTAGTTTACCTCGTCGCTGGGACTGCCGTCTGCATTGCGGATAAGGTACCACTTCACAAGAAGAGAAATCTCCTCCGGGGAGAGAAATATTTTATTGGTGGCCAGAGAACGAACAAAGCGTGACTGAGTGCATGTTCGATGTTCATAAATGCCCTTACGCACTCGATCAAAGTCATGCAAAGTTGGAATCAAATGAATGCGGTTCGATTGGACAAGACGGCGCACTTTGTTCAACACAAACTCCGCACGCTCTTTTTCATCAGCGTCAACCTCACTGAGAAATTGGCCAGGGGTCCTGGTCATCTCATAGTAGTTTGTTAAGCCTGGCGTAGCGTCTTCACGGCGTGGGTTGGTGTCGGCAAGAAACTGCACGTAGTTGACGCGCGGAAAAACCTCTTCGTTTGTTCCACTAACTGTGCCCCCCAGCCTGGCGTCTGCATACGCCCGCGTTAGCGTGTCAATGTGCTCTGCCGTAAGGTGAAAGTTTACAAACCGCAGCTGCCCAAGCGCTGACTCGAACTGCGGGGCAGTAACAAATCCCGTCTTGAAATGGTCATAGGCCTTCAAGAAGTCGTCGCACCGCAAACGATACATTGAAAACTGCGAGCGCAGCACCGACAAAAGCTCATCGAGGGAAAGCGGCGCGGAAACCCCATGCGGGGAAATATGCGGCGAGATGCTCGCGGAAAGTCTTTCCTCCTTTAAGGAGGTAGAGGCCTCAATGTCCCTGCACCATGCGGCGTACAGCACGCCCCCATCCTCGTCACCGTACTTCTTTATAATGAGCTTCAATATGTCATCCCGCAGCCCCTCAAATGGCAGGCACCGTCTAAATTGTGAGGCAGAAACTTTTCCGCTGTGGAACGGATCAAAATCTTCAAACAACTTTCGTAAATGTATCCCACGCACCCGTACAGCGTAATGCAGCGAGCGGAAGGTCGTCTCCAATGTGCGTTCCTCTTCATCCGAGAGCATCTTTCCCTTGCGCCTCAGTGTCGTCAGCAATTCTGCCGGTGGATCCTCCACTCGCAAAGCATGAAGAAAGGCCACATAATTCACATCGTTCGAAGCTCCTCCGCGTGGGGTCCTGCTGCCCGTCGTCTTGTTCGCCGGGAGAGCAGCAAAGGCACTTGTGAGTGTTTCAAATTCTGCGTCACTGAGTTGAATAGAATTGATGGCCAAAGCGCGGCGGAACTGCGCGGCTGTAATACGGCCGGAACGAAGTGAGTCAAAGTCCGCAAAGAAATCATCAAGCCGCAGTCGACGTTGAGCCACCCGTACCCGCACCCTTTGTAGTACACTTTCTAATGCAGACATGAGCCCTGACTTTTTGATTTCCCCTTTCCCCCTTTCTTCTTAGCCCCTCTTTCTGCCGGTGTCGTTGCTCCCAAACTCAACGCTGCTCTCTCTTTTGTAAAATACTCGTGGTAACAAATAAAATAAACGAATGTAAAAGGAGGGGGAAAACACACACACACAGAATAAGTTAATTCCCCCGCATACACACACGAAAATCAACGCCTTCCCTCCTACCCCCACACATTTGGCAAGTTTTTATTCCTATATATATATATATATATATTTCCTCAGCATCAGTAGCGTCATCCAATTCGCAAGGGAAAAAAAAATGTGTGCGTACATAGGAAATAGGGAAACAGTAATAAAAAGTGAGCAACAACAGCAATAAGAAAACAACTGATTTTCAAAAGCGCTACTTTTCACCTATGTCCCTGGCGTTTCCCTCCACACCGCGTGTGTCTCTTGTGCTAAATGGTAACTCGGCGTCGACGGCATCGATGATCTCCCGCGGCAGAAGGAAACACGTGAGCAATGCAGCCGTGACAGCGCCGTTGCGGAAAGCCCGATATGTTCCCCACGGTGAGCTCTTGAACAACACAAAGAGACTTGCTGAGGTGATGCCAATCGCCGGCAGGATCCAATGACGCCGACGAAGTTGCTCGCTGGCAAGTAATGTCTGCTCCGTGACAAAACGGTCGGCCCGCGCTACGCACACCTTGGCGGTAGCCAAGTAGGCAGCAAGGTCAAAGACGGGCCCCAAAAGGGCGCCAAACATCCACACCGTCTGGCGCACCGTGGAAAGCTGCCGTCTCAGCCAAAGCCACTCCCCCTCCCATATTGCGACAACCCCGCGGTCCTCAAGGCTCATGATGGTGCTCCTATCGTCCACAGAACTAAACGGCCTTCGCCTTCTCTTCTCAGGCGGACAAAAAAGTCGGTCACTGTCAACAAAAATAATGAGGTGAAAATAAAAAACGACACGCCGTACGGAAAAGATGTACCAAACGAGCGGAATAAAAAAAAAGAAATCGCCATCATGTACAAACGCCAAGTGGCCTCGGCAGTACCAGTACATTAAAAAGAAAACCTACACACACACACAGAGAAACATGCCCAAAAACAAACTTTTTTCCCAACCCTTTCGTCGGGGGTGCAATTACATCACATGGAATCGATATTATGACCATTCACCAACAGTCCACAAAATTATCCCCGCCCATTGCCGCCAAAACGCATTTATGCAAAGAACCCTGTTTCTCGCCAGTGCGCTATAATTATTATCGCAGCGCCAGACGCCGAGATGGCTAAAAGAAATTTATTCACGATATAAACTTTAGAAAATGTCCAATCTTACTCATGTGGAGAGGCGCCATCAGTGCCAGCAATCAATTCCGCCACAAACTTTTTCATTGTCTCCTTCATATCAACAACGCGTTTCCGCTTGACACCTCGTTTCTTCGCTGTTTGAGCCTGCCACTCCGCCTGACCCGTACCCGCAGCAAGGTCACATAGTGGGGGTGATTTTTTTACTGTGATAAACCCGCCGTATGGGACCAACTCCCCCTCCCCTTCTTCTTTCACTCTGCCGTGTCTAGGCAGTACTATCGCTCGGTCGTCTTGAGACGACGGCAAAGAGTCAATCCCGCTTCTCCAGCTCAATACCTGCTCCATCTCTGTATGAATTGTTGACAGCTGTTGTTGCACCGCTTTCGACGCCTCAGCCAGTTTATCCTTGTCTTTCGTCAAACCTGCATTTGTGGCCTCAATTACTTCTGGTGGCTTTCTCGTCGGGAACATCACATTGGTCCCTTCATTACGTTGCATTTCTTCGAAAGAGGACACCAAACGACAATGATTTGTCATGCAATCCTCCTTTGCTGGCGGTTCTAGCAAAGGAGACTTCGCCAACAACTTCTTCTTTACGAGAACCGGCGAAAGATCCAACGGTGGTTCTCTCAAAAAATAATTTTGTTTGCAGCCGTCACGACAAGGACCCGGTACAGAATGTGCCACCGCTTTTGTCGAATTGGAGGCAATCCCTGACGAGGCACAATTTCCGGGTTCCTCCTTACCTCTCCCAAAAACACTTTTTGATCCCGCCTTGTGTGGCGTCAATAAAACATCACGTAAAGAGCCCTGCAAGCCGTCTCCAAAGCGCCTATTCGTGAGAAAAATCGCCATGCTCTCGTTCCCCCGTGTTTCGCCCTTTACGGCCCCAACTTCTGTGAGATGCTCAGAAGCATGGAGTGGCAGATCGCTGGTGCAATTGGGAGAAGCAGGCCTCCATGTAAGCGTCTCCGCGTCATCGTTATTCGTTCCACATTCACGACGGCAAGTCAAAATTGTGGAGTACAAGCATTGACGACTATTATTGATGGTGCTGCACGCAAGTGGAATGTGTTGTTGAACAGCAGTGGTGGAACCAGGTGCCTTCGCAGAATTCAGTAATTGGATTCGCCTCGCCGCCGCACTACAATTTTCACACAGAAGAGTCAAAACCTCCTCGGCCTGTAAAGTATTCACACATTCCTCATTTGCCAGTACATCCTTCCTAATGTTGACTGCCGCTGGCTCTGAAAACAAACGACAATCGGAATTTCCATCACGCAAAAAACATGTTGCGATATCCTTGGTCCCCAAATTGGCAAGACAGGACCCCTCCAGGCAGCGCCGGATCAACCCGACGTCTTTTCTCTCACCTACAAATCGCACAAACACATCAAACCGCAAAAATAATTGTTTCTCCAAAAGAGACTCCCCAGCAGAAAGCTTCGCCCCGGCACCGAGTTCCAGCGTCATCAGCGGCTCCTTCCACGAGCGGAAGTTGCAAGGATTAAAAGTCACCGGCGGGGAACAGGCGCCAGATGCCAAGCGACGGCCATTCACAAACGTGCCATTCAAGCTAAAACAATCACGCACACTCATGGCACACCACTCATGCGGATCGTGTGAAATACGCAACAAACGGCTACTACTGAGTTGCAGCACACAATGACTACGAGACAAAAGAGGGCCCTGGGCGGCCATCTTGAAGGTTATTACAGCACTGTTTCCCACCGGATCACGACCCAATGGCAAAAGTAGAATCATAGGAGTATTGCCACCATTCGCGCTTTTCGCCTCACTTTCCAAAGACAAAATATTTCCGTCATTTTTAAAAAAAAAACAAGCCCTCAGTCGGCAGCGTTTGTAATTATTTACAGATCCATGGCGTACGTAAGTCGGTTGCAACTCATTCCACTTCTCTGAATTATCTGACGACTTCTTTGGCACAGCGCAAATGCCGCCCGAATCCGATAGCAGCTGCAGGTTGTGAGTAGCCAGAAGCACAATCTCCATCCTGCTCCCTGCCGTATCCAATTTCCTCCCCTTTCCTCTCTACTTGCGCCTGTTAAGAACATGACGCAGCAGAACATGTAAGAAAATAGAAGGGTAAGCGACAAAATAATAATAAGGATGATAGCAGATGCAGAAGGGAAAATAATAATAATAATAAAGCCCGTGACAACTGGAACTATTCATTAATCCACCCGCTCACACAAAAGAAGAGGCAAAGAGTGGAAATGTTTGTGAAAAATGTAAATTTCAACACGGTCATTGTCGCTCTTGTGCCAACACCGCCGCTGCCGCTTTCATTTTCTCGTCGCTGCTTTCAACATCCTTGTCTGGGCGTGGGAGAAAATATCCCTTTTCCTGCTCACGTCGGTTTCTCAAGTACTCCTGTTGTTGCTCCACCGTCGAAGTAATTACACGTAGAAATTCCTGCTTTTTGTTGTCGTCTCGCGAGAGCTCGTAGAGATGAAACTCCTCCGCCTCACCAAACCTTGTCAAGGCACGCCAGTAGTCATTCCATAGATGATTCAGCCCACAACGTAGCAAACGGCGATAGAAAGGAATACACAGTGGCTCTGACGTTTTCGTCTCCAATTCACGGTTTTTGTCGTAGCAACACATCAGTTCCGCATGAAACTCTCTACAGTTGTTGTGCAATACAGCACTATGCAAGAGGGTCTCCTGGTTCTTTTGTGAGCCCATACATGCCACATAGGCTTTATGTGTGCCACGGCATTTCCTCTCATTGATGTTGTTCTTTGTGTTGATCTCATGCCCCCTGTCGGTATGTTCGATAATATGGTGCTTCGCTAGACAAGATGTGTATTCATCAAGTTGTTTGTAACAGATGTACGCGTTCAGATTTTGGCGCATCATGAAGGAATTATGCTCCTCCTCCTTTGCGGGATCTGCATCACTCCCACGATCTGCAATGGACATGTCCTGCTCACTTCTCCATTTATCAAAAAGATCCATGGAAATCTGGGATTGCCTCGAGGGAGTGCCCAGCGGCCGCCACGCATTCCAGGCCATCCTCTTTACCAAAAAAAAAAAAAAAAAAAGAATACAGTCCCTACGTAATGAAAAACCAAAATAAAGTAAAATAAAAACGGCAGATGCGGGGGAGAAAGCCCCTCTCACTCTTCATTAAAAGAAAAAAAAAGAGGCCAGAAACAGCACCCCTCATAGGTTACAAAAATATGTGAGCATCCCTACACACATATGTTCGGGCTGATATAACAGAAATAGAAAAGAGCAAAAAACAACAATAAAATAAATGGTATGCGTCCCTCCCCAATGGTCTCCTCCCGGCGGATCACACCCCGCTGCTTTGCCGCCGCCAGAGACATAGTGGCGAAAGCGCCGCAGAAAAGGTGCGAAAACAGGCACAATAAAGGAAATCCCCGAATTCACCTCAATTAAAAAGCCTCGAAATGAAAAGCATCCAATAAAGAACACTACTTTCGATTCGGGCCGCTCTTCGTATTACGAGCTTGAGGCGCCTCCCTGCCTTGCTGCTTGCGAGCTTGAGGCGCCTCCCTGCCTTGCTGCTTGCGAGCTTGAGGCTCGTTCCTGCCTTGCTGCCTACGAGCCTGAGGCGCATCCCTGCCACCACGCTGCATGCGACCACCCTCTTCCTTCCGGGTCGGCCGGGCGCCGTGCTGCTGCTGTGACCTTTGATTCAGCTGTGGCCTTTGCTTCTGCTGCTGTGACCTTTGATTCAGCTGTGACCTTTGCTTCTGTTGCTGTGGCTGCAGCTTGCGGACGTTGCCCTTCTGAGCGCCGCCACGCTGCGCGACACCTCTCTGGGTTGGAAGGACACGAGCTCCCCTCTGTTGCAGAGCACCCCTTGGTAAGCCGCGTACGCCAAGGCCCTTCACATTCTTAAGCTTCTTCGCGCGAGGCTTCTTGCCGGTCTTGATGCGGATAATACCCTTCGAAATCGCCAGGTGGTTGATTGCGTGGTCAGACTCAGCCTGGCGACGAAGATAGCCAGCAATGCAGAAGGTTGTCGTCGTGCCGTTTAGCACTCCGTTGGCGTCCACATTCGCAATGGCAATCTGCACGGCGGAGTGGTCGTATGACGTGATAAGGTTGTTTGTCGCGTGGCACTTGCGTGGGATGTACAGGTCCACGTTAACACCCTCCTCGTTGTACGTACCGATTGTCGTCATTCGTGAGAAGCGTGGCAAACAAAAGGGGGAAGACAGCACCCTTCAAAAAAAAAAAAAAAGCCGACAAAAAGAAAAAAAAAATTAACGAAAATTTAAAAAAAGCAGCGACACAAGAGAAAATCGGGAAGAAAAAAAAAGGACCATGCCGCCCAAAGCCACCGAAAAGACAAATATTTATTTACCTTCAAAAGAAAAAAACAAAAGAAAATCGGGTTTTTTTTTTTCTTCCATTGGCACAACCGCTCCTTTCCAACAAAAATCCGCCCCGCGGCATCCGTTCCGTCACACTGCAATCAACACCCTATGCCTTCTGGGAACGAGGTGCATTCCTGCCTTGCTGCTTGCGAGCTTGAGGCGCATCCCTGCCTTGCTGCTTGCGAGCTTGAGGCGCATCCCTGCCTTGCTGCTTGCGAGCTTGAGGCTCGTTCCTGCCTTGCTGCTTACGAGCCTGAGGCGCATCCCTGCCACCACGCTGCATGCGACCACCCTCTTCCTTCCGGGTCGGCCGGGCGCCGTGCTGCTGCTGTGACCTTTGATTCAGCTGTGACCTTTGCTTCTGTTGCTGTGGCTGCAGCTTGCGGACGTTGCCCTTCTGAGCGCCGCCACGCTGCGCGACACCTCTCTGGGTTGGAAGGACACGAGCTCCCCTCTGTTGCAGAGCACCCCTTGGTAAGCCGCGTACGCCAAGGCCCTTCACATTCTTAAGCTTCTTCGCGCGAGGCTTCTTGCCGGTCTTGATGCGGATAATACCCTTCGAAATCGCCAGGTGGTTGATTGCGTGGTCAGACTCAGCCTGGCGACGAAGATAGCCAGCAATGCAGAAGGTTGTCGTCGTGCCGTTTAGCACTCCGTTGGCGTCCACATTCGCAATGGCAATCTGCACGGCGGAGTGGTCGTATGACGTGATAAGGTTGTTTGTCGCGTGGCACTTGCGTGGGATGTACAGGTCCACGTTAACACCCTCCTCGTTGTACGTACCGATTGTCGTCATTCGTGAGAAGCGTGAAAATAAAACACCCTTTTTTGAAAAGAATGGGTTAGGCAAAAATGGAAAAAGAGGCAAAGTGCATAAGACTAACTCAAACTCCAACCGAGACCAAGACAGTCATAACAAAAAAATTAGAATAAAATAATAATAAATAGAATAAAGAAAAAAAAAACGTTAAAAAACTAAAGCATATGCGTCAGGTCCTACTTTTCAACATCACCTTCCCTGATATTCTTCTGGATTTTTATCATTTTTGTGTTGGCAAAATCAATCCTTCTTTTCGTCATCAAAGCTCATTGTTTTGATTAATGCCTCCAGGGGATCCTCGGCCTCTACAGGCGGCGGTGCCGGTGGCGGTACCGGCGGTGGCTCGGAGAAATAATACTGCATCGGTGGCCCCGTGTGTGGCACGTTGGAGTTGCCTTCCCCTGCTGAGAGCGGAATGCCCATCACAGAATCGCATGCCAAAGCTTCCACCGTGGTGAAAGACGCAACGTGACCATCGCCTCTGGGGAAATGCGGGGCCATGGGGAGGCCGCCCTCCGCTGTGGGTTTATCCACCAGGCCGGACTCTTCGGCCACGCCGAGCAAAAGCTCCGCACGCTCGTAGTACATTTCCATTCGCTGACGAAGTTGATGCAAAAGAAAACGCCGTTCATTGACGTCCTTCGTCGGAACCTCGTCAGCAACCGCGGCAATGATCTCCATGGCGGTAATGTAATTGCGCGCAGCCACGAGAGGATTGCCGTCCGGCGTCTCCTCTTGACGTGCACGATAAATAAAATCCGCTGCCTGCTGCACACGCCGCGCAAGTGCAGTCATATTTTTGTTTTACTAGTACTTCCACCACTAATATTAATTCTTCGTTCCCCCTCAGGTAAAGAGGAATTTATCAAATAATGTGTATTTCTTGCTGGCTCGCCTCCTCCGCACTCGCTTTTCCAGCTGAAGGCAGTTAAATAAAAAAGAAAAAAAGAAGAGAAGGGTAAACCCGCAACGGAATCCACCAATGACACCCCGTCTATCCTAAATGCCCCCGCACACACACACACACACACAAAAGAACAGCGTTGCATTATCCTTCCAAATTTGTACATAATGGCTCCTACTCTACATCACAGATACACATGCATTCAAAGAAAAAAAAAGAGTAATTAACACTGAGAGAGTACTCGCATATAAATAAATATGTAACGGTTTCCCCTCGTCCTCCAATTGCCTGTTTTTGTTCTCAGTGGCGATTTCCATTCCTTATATTCTCCCTGGGTTTAAGAAATAACGCACCACTTTTCATTTAATGCAATTTGTGACGATGTGGATCCGCCTTGTCTACAGCAATACGCTTCTCAATGGATTTTATTTGTCTCCATGTATATGGGTCTACAATCTTCGGGTCAGGATTTTCCTTCAAAAGGTTGCCATGGGAGTTGCGCAGGGATTGAATCTTCTTTGTATAGCGCGTGAGAGTACCTGCTAACATCTCCCCCGCGCATGCCAACCGCCGTTCCCCACTGGCTCCCACTGTATCAGCTCCAGCCAACGCCACCGCGTCCGGCAGCTCCGGCAACATTCCTTGATGGATGTGGTCACTTCGGTAAATGCTCATATTGACGTGTCCTTCGTTTTCAAGCCGTCGTGTCACCCCGCAGTAGGGCTGCTCAATCTTCCGAATTGGAATGGGATTTGTCTCGTCTTCCATCGGGTAGGGTTTGCCAACCCTCTTTTTCTTCCCCGCAAGGAGAGAGAGCAAGGCTGCCTTGTCGTCCATCGTTCCTATGAGGTGCGCATTAGGGGACTCCTCAATGCTACGTGGTAACTGGCTCGGGTAGGCTAGGCTCCTGTCACCGTACACCCACGACGTGCAATAGTAGTCCGTCGGCGGTCCATCCGCAATAGTCAGCTGTGGCCTGCGCGACGCGAACAAAGTTCCCTCTTTACTGTGGTTGTCCTCTGACGGGCAAATTTTCGGCAGGAGAGACTCCTTGGATGTGATCTTTGGCGGCAAAACCGCCTCCGCCCTAAGGTCCTGTTCTGTTGTTGGGATAAGGAGAAAATTTGGGTCAAATGCAGCGGTGCGGGAGCCAGCATAAAGGCTTGGCTTGCCCTTAGGGACACGGCCGCTGTGTGTGTAATCTTTCTTATATACTGAAATTGGGTGGGCACCGTTCTCCGTGGCGTGCTTCCTCAAGCCCGGGGGATAGTAATCCCTCACAAAGGCGGAGGCCACATCATGCTCCCCACATGCCGTGCGCAAAAGACCCGTAAGATCCTTCACACCCCTGTCATGACGCACGTAGTCTGTGAGGTAAGTTGTGTTGTTGGAGCCTTCCAGTGACTGGCAAAAGCGAAAGATGGGTCGATTGCGCACATCACCACTCACACTGCCCTCGTCGTCGTCACCAGATGTGCCTTCCCCGGTGCCCGTCTCGCCCATGTCTCGATTGTAGTCGTAGTCATACCGTGTCATGTAAAGGTCCAGCATGTTTGGTTCCGGGTGGAGCGGCAATTCCCGCTGCAACTCCGCCTTAAGCACAGACATCGCGCCTTTTCGTCGCTGTTTATTCTATCTGGTCTGTCCTCAATTTTGATTGTTTTTTTTTTCTCTCACCTCCCCCTTCACTCGGTTGCGTGACGCACTGAAAACAGTTGGGCAGCGCCCTCCCGTCCTACCTCTCCCAGCCAGACAGCCCAAAAGACACAAGCCACAGAAAAAATTTTAAAGGCACATACAAGCAAATACATTCAACAAGAAAAAAATACGCCAATACAAAACCACCCTCTTTACCTCTTTTAGTCTTTCTATCACGTTCCCCTCGCGGCCCATAGTCTCCACTCACGCACGAATGTACGGCAAGACACATCCCCACCCTCACACCAAGAGGGCAAGCCTCATAATCACTAAGTGCACTCGTTTTCGACCAGAAGCTGAACGATGCGGTGTACACTCATAGGCTGTCTCTCCGCTGCACAGCTAGAGGCGTTTAAACGCAAATAACTATCTGCACCAAAATCAGCAAAATCAACATCAAAAAGATTCTTGTGCCTTTGAAGGAGGTCAACGGCGTCCATCATGCGTCGTTGAGTATCCGTCCCGTAATAATTGACAAACGCAAGAGGTTGTTGCTTTTGATCCTCCTCAGAGAGCAACTGCGTCCTCCAGTAAGCCACAGCCTTCAAAAAGGAGGTAAAAAATAATGACTGCGGTGCACTCGTCCTGTCAGAGCTACCTGCTTCACTTCCATCCAGTCCTTCCCCACCACATTGCTCCGTCGCTGCCGCGTCTGCAGCTCCCTCCAAAGACGCAAGTGGGTGGATGACACCATCATCATCTTCCCCATTATTATTATTATCATCAACATATCTATCATCACTGTCATTGTCATTGTCGTTATCATTGTGGTCTGGAGGTGATAAATAGATCGATTGCTTGTCCTTCGCTGGGCGAGCCTCGGCCCCAGTTTTATTATCTGGGTGAGGGGAACAAATCTTATTGAACAGAGACAGGAGTTCGTCCTCTTCCTGAACGCTGCGCAGCACAGTCGCCCCTTTTTCTCCATCGACCAGCAAAACAAGCCACCCTGTATAAACACCAAGTACCGTCGCCTCCCGCCCCTCAAAGGCCGTACCGTCCACCCCCACTAGACGGTCACCGTGCAATACACCGAAACGCTCAAGGGCTGTCGGCGTAGCGTCGCAATCCATACTATTACCACATGTCTCAGTGCAAGTTACACAATCGCCATAAACAAAAAATGGTGATTGTAACGCAGTTGCGCCAACATCTGTTTGACTGGGCTCCTCCAATGCCTCTGAACAACTGCGAGGGGTGAAGTCTGCATATTGAGAGGAGGAGCCAAGGTTTGAATTAGGATCAGTAGAATCTTCAAAAGCATGTTCAACCTGACTCCGGGCTCCTTCTAAATTCTCATCTTTATCCATCAATTCGGCAGCGGGTAAAGCAGAAGAAGTCAAAGTGCCTGGTTTCTCCAATATTTGTCCACTCTCACAAAGTCCATACGCCTCGTACAATTGACGCTTGTCATGGCACAAATGAAGGGGTTTAATGTAAGAACAAAAATTATTCCCTTCCCCAGAAACAGGAGACGTGCCGCCAGTCTCACCTTCCACCGCAATGACCTTCACCCACGGCACTCCCCATGCAACACCTACAAACTCTACCTGGGCTGACCACGCAGAGAGATAGTACACACGGTCTGCAAAGACATCATAAACATGGCGTAGCGAGTTCCGGTCCAGTTGAGGGCAATTCATAGACTCTTCCCCAAGCGGTAGTTTTAAAGTCACAGTATCTCTGTGTGAGCTGTCTTCCGTGTTTTTAACCCAATCATAGTACCGGTACAGCTTTCTCAATTCAAGCTGTAGAGCCGGCAGACAATGGTAAACGCACACGCCCTCGTTCAAAACCAAAGTCGGCATGGGTAACAAGAACACATCCCCCTTCTCATTGTAGCCCAAAACAACCACGGTTTTGTAGTTCTCTAAATCCCCAGCTGTGATTTCAGTCCCCAGAAAGCAGATCGACAACAGTTCCTCTTCTCTAGTGTAAGGTTCTTTCAGCGTAAGCACGGTGCCGTGCACAGGTGCCACAGCACTCTCCAGGTCATTTTCACATGACGCTTTACAGTCACACGCCGTCTCTCCCTCCCTGACGTTTGCCTTTGCAAACCCATTTTCAATGAATCCACTGCCTCCGTTTTCACCAGATGTGTATGTGCTGGCACTACTCACGTAACTATCAGTGCAATAGGACTCTGTAAAACTCTCCCCCTCCCAATCATCATCATTATTATCCCTTCTCTGTATGTTTTCACTTGCTAATTCAATCCTCTTCCACGTCGGTTGTAGATGATAGAGCATCCCCAACGCATCCTTAAGGAGAACCTCTCCTCCCTCAACGTCATAGCCAGCAAAGGCCAAATTGGTTCGCGTCGACATCGTCTCTCTTCCTACCGCTGCTTTAAGTTAAAAAATGCAAAATAACTAAAATAATAATAACAATAATGATAATAAAGAAAAAGAAAAGAAGCCGCAGATATGCGACAAGCAACCATCACAAGCTCCCAGCTTCCCTTTTTATTTTTTGTCTATTTATCTGTTTCCCCCGTTTCATGCCCATTTCACCTGAGAGGGTCCCCACACACACATACACCCTGCCACCGCGCGCAACCCGCGCACGCGGGAAAGTCGTCGACCTTCCCCTCTCCACCCCCCGTTTGTCATTGACTCCTTGACTTCTTCGCTGCCTCCTCCCCGCCCTCGCGGGTTTTGGGGCCTCCACTCTCCTTTTGAAACAACAAGGAAAAAAAAAAAGGAAAAAAAACATGCATTCATACACTGACACATATACACATAAATAAATGCAAATACATAGCGAGAGAAAAAAAAAGTGTTGAGAAACAGCGCTACCCACCCACCGCGCATCAAGTCCAAACATCAGTCCAGTATACAAAATGATAATAAACAACAAGGAAAAAAAAAACAGTGTCTCACATGGTACATTGTAGCGGCAGCCCTGACCGGGCAACATGCTGTGTGATGTAGAAGATACAGTGAAAGCATGTCCTGACGGCGTAGAAGAAAAAAAGAAAAAAAAAGAAAGAAAGAAAGATACAAAACTCACCCAAGGGCCGCCAATTGAATCGTGAAGTTTATTTCGCCTTACTCAGGAAGTGTTCTATGTACAAAAAGGAACCAAAGCACAAGACCAACAACAACAACAACAAAAGGGACACAAATATACAGAAATAAAAATACAGAAAGTGAGTGATTGGGAGAGAGAAAAAAAAAAAAAAAAAAAGGAAAAAAATTTATCAATCAGTAAATAAAAGTGAAACAGCGGAGAAAAGTAAGATAATGCTGTGATTCACCTTGCGCCCTTTTGTACAGCGGGGCTTCCGCAAAAGAGACCGCGAGCGAACAGATGCCGGTAGAACAATTTCCAAGGCAACCGACATCCCTGCATATTCCTCTAATGAAATCACGTCGCATGAAAGGAAAAACCCCGTTGGTAGCCAAAAAAACTCACGCAAAGTAACTCCGCCACATTAAAGAAAAAAAAAAGAAAATTCTCCTCGGTGTTTCATGCCATCAATCCAACGGGAAACTTCACAACAGTCCTGTGAAAATTAACAAGGAAGGGGAAAACACGGATAATTCTTCCAATATCATCACCAGAAATCCAGTAACAAGCTTCTACGTGAATAAATTGAAAAATTGCCCGCGACAACACACATTCAAAGCTTCCCCTTTGTTCCATAACTCTGTTTTCATACACAAATGCTCAACGTTCTTCTGTGCTGGTTAATTTTGTTCTCTTTTTACGACTTGTTGCAAACAAAAACAAAGGCCATGGAAACCATCATCGTCTCGCCTCACAGTGCTGAGGCCCCGACAAGTTTCCGCTACCGGGTTTGTTTCGATTGCCGTTGGTGTTGCCGGAGTACCCTGAAATTGGGAGATATATGGTTGGACCTGGTGAACCCGTCGATGGCGATGATGACGAGCTGCGACCTTCCGTTTCGTGCAAACCGCTTTGGGTGCGCTGGTTCATCTTCACTTCCTGCATGACACCACGACGCAAAAATTCGTTTGCCCTTTGTTTGAATATTTGTCGGTTTACACGATTCCACGGCATCAGCGGCTTTGACATGGAACTAAACTCATATACTGGAATAGACAGGCCCCCCAGGTGTGACGCGTATATATGCTTTTCCTCAGGGGGTATGTGATTGACGACGACGCGATGAAACAAGTCCAGTCCCTCGTGTGCGCTGCCTTTGGCAAACCGCGGGTGGAGATGCTTTTTTTCATTTGGCAAACTCCCATGTGCCTCCACAACGGCAGTTCGCGGTGACGGAGAGGCGATAGCTAATTCCTCCTCCTCACGCGCCATATCGATCAGGTAGGAACGAAGGTCAAGGATGTACTTGTCGCCCGGCTCAGATGGATACAAGGCGTGCTCAAACTGAACCGCATGCTGCAGCTTGGAACGTCTTGCCAACCGTTTGTTCTGCAACTTAGTCGCCATCGCTCGCATGGCTACCGTGTCAGGAGATGACGATGGTGATGATGATGAAGCTGGCATCTTGATGTCAGCATTCGAATTTTTCCGGCTAAGTTGCAATGCCTCCTCCGCCATGCAGCTTAATTTCTGCTGCTGCTGGACATTATAAAAAGTGGCACGGTCGTAGACACGTTGCATCACGTGCTCTTCCACATAGTTCCGCAAAGCCTCTACATGCGTGGTGTCCAGCACGGCAAAGTCAGCAAGTGAAGATTTGCTGCAGTAGTCACGCTGCACGGCTAAAAGAATGTGCTTCGGATCGCGAAAGCGGCTCATCGCGGAGGCGGTGTACGTGTTGAAGACATGATGGTCGAGGCTTGTGTCGGGCTCCCACAAGTATCCCTCACAGGCGCCAATGTAACGCGTGTTATTCCGCAGATGATAAGCGCAGTCCAGGCTTGCCATTAAGCATGCGTCAAAGGTGATCGCCTCAAACTTTTTGTCTCCAAATATCGCTGCCAGTTCGTGGCATTGTAACCCCACCTTGTTTTCCTCCAGCTCCAGGTAGTCACCCATTCCGTGACCGCCGTAGACAAAATAACTGCGCCCAGGGTCGTACCAACGGTGCAGAAAACGCTCCAACATGTCCTGCGAGTAGCCTACAACGTTTTCGTAGTTCTTCAACATGTACTCCTGTCCGTCAATGCGGGCCTCAAAGCTGCCACCCTGGCTGTTAAAGGCAAGGATGGAAAGATCCGTTACACCCTTTACTTTCTTCATCTGCAGAAACTTCCAAAATGGCCATGCCGTCACGCCGTTGATAGAACTAAAAAGGACAATCAGTCGATTGCATCGCCGTGAGGCTTTAGCAGACATTCGGCTCCCCGCTGTTGTTGTCCTCCCCTTTATTTTTACCCTTTTTTGTTGTTGTTGTTCTCCCTGTTTCTGTTATTTAGCAAGGGACTTTTTTGATTTCCCCCGTGACTCACTTTCCCACTCTTTACCTTCCGTTCCCTTTTTCAGCCGCGTAAATCTGTCGTCCTCCCCTCTCCCGAGTGTCCTCCTTTTCTCTCTCCCTCACTTTGTCCTCTCTGTTTTAAACCCTTTCGTTTCCTTTCCTTCTTTCTTTCTTGTTGGTTTGACACGTGTTTCCTTCGCCGCACACACTCTCCCTTTGTCCCTGTGAAGTGTGTGTTTCTCTTTTCTTTTTTTTCTTCCTCTTCTTCTTTTATCCTCCTTTTTTCCTGCTCCGTGTGGGTCCACAATGGTCGGTGCGATGATGTGGCGCGGCTGCTGGCAACTGCCTGCTGTTGGATCACAAATTACAATTAAATCCGCTCTCAAAAGAGCACCTGCTTCTGTCGGAAGCTGCACAGACGGCGAGGAAGTAGCCCCCCACGTGCACGTGTATGCACAGTGAACCACGGAGGAAACCGGAAGAGAAGGCTGCCAAACCACCCTCCCCTTCCCTCGTTCGTGTTCTTGCAAATGCCCCTCGCTACCTCCTTTCCTTTCGCACAGAAAATATACACGGCAAAAAAGAAGAAAAAACAAAATAATATATATATATATACTGCATGCGTGCAAGGTGCCGTGGCCATCATCACATGCCTCCCACAGCCACCACCCAGTGAGAAGGAAAAAAACAGCAACGACGGAAAAAGGGGGAAAAAAAGAAAGCAGCATCAGCAGCAGTGGTATAAATTGACAAATGGTAGGCCCAAGAAAACACTTTGGCCGAATGAAACAAAACACCGTCTATGCATACCGATGAACACGCAACATCTTCTTTCATCACACAATCTAATCTCTACTCATTGAAATCTCTTTAAGTTTCCATTTTCTCTCTTCTCTCATTATTCGCCGTGGTCGTATTCCCTTGCAGTCTACGCGGAGAGGCTGTGATACTGTGAGTAGTACACTCGCTTCTCCATGGCCCGCACCGCCTGCCGCATGAGGCTCACCTCACTATTCACGCCCTCAAACTCCAGCCGGTGTCGCTCCTCAACGCGTCTCTGTCGCCTCCTTTCACGCTTCAGCTCCCCTCGCAACTTCTCAATCTCCGCCTCACGCGCGGCGAGCAGAGCGGCATTTTGCTCCTTTTCCACCAATGAGAGTGCACGACATTCCTCCAGCTCCTGCCGAAGCCGCCGCATGACGGTATCAGTGTTGTCGCCCATCCGCCGCTGCATCAGCTGAAGGTCTGCAGCATGCAGACGACGATCCGTTTCCACAATTGTGAGGGCTTCATCAAAAAA